AACATGACAAATAATTCATGATGTTTTTTTTGCCTGTTTTGACAGCTGGATGCAGATCGCCGTAGTAACACTGAGCTCAGTGTCTGTCATCCTCCTTTGAGAAAGCGAACCAGCGCCTCGCAGGCAGACAATGAAAGCCGAGTTGCGTTTGAGTCAATCATATCTACACCCTGATAGTCATGGATGGATTTACATTTCTCTCATTCAGCCCCATTCTGCAGCCGTACTTTCTTCTGCCTTATTGCTTTCATTTCACTGATAGATCTTTACTGATATTCACTGGGAAGTTATTCCTCTGGAACACACAAAGTCTTGGTGGGATTAAGAGAGAGAGAGAGAGAGAGAGAGAGAGAGAGAGAGAGAGAGAGAGAGAGAGAGAGAGAATTAATGATAGAGAGAGAGCGAGAGAGCGTGGCCAATTCCCCCTTGGAATCCACACATTGTTTCCCTTCAGCCGATGGGGGATTCTTATCAAAACGCTGCCAGGACTATCATGAAAGGATATGGTAATTATGGAAAAAACACACACACACACACACACACACACACACACACACACACACACACACACACACACACACACACACACACACACACACACACACACACACACACACACACAGTGTGTGTGCCAGGAAGGCCGACCAAGCACCGGGCTAATATAATGTGTCTGGTGTGGGGGCTATTTACATACCCTTCCAGAGCGCTTGTCACATTCAATTAATTACTCCCTGGCAGGGTGACAAAGATGATTAAAAAGAATGATGAAAAATATTTCCTCGCATGGCTCAAAAAAAATCCACTAAGTCCTTTTAAAATGAAGCCAAATGATCTCTAAAACAAGGCATGCCGTCTTAGTAAAAGTTAAAGGTGTTTTTTTTCATTCCCAAGAGGGATTACAGTGCCATTCCTTCTATTGAGGAAGGGAATGCAGAAAATGAGCCAGAGAGGATGTTTGTAGGAGCGGCTGTGATCATGAGCTGTGCTTTATTCAGGCGGGGGGGAAAAAAAGAGAGCTGAAGCCTGTGGGGTAATGAGCGTCCGTTCATAACCCCTTGCATCTGATGTCTTTCAGCGAACGCAGCCTATTTAACACTGTCAGATCAATTAGCAGGTGAAGAAAGGGCTGGGGAGACGTGGAGCCTTTTGTTCAAACAGACACTGTGTGCGAGGAGGTACAGTGCGGTTTAAGGGAGTTTATCACGGCAGAAGGTTTTAATGTTCACAATGAGCGACTGTGCTTCGCTTATTGCACAAAAGAGCAGGCTGAATTGGGATTGTTGTGGTAAAACGTGTAGCCTGAATCAAACACCCGGGGATGTGACAGCCTTGTGGGGGAATTGGGAGCTGTTAGAGTGAGGCAAATACCCCAAGGGGCATATGAATACAGAAATCTACATTTCAAGTAGCGCCGCGCCTCCGCCGGCTCATATCTCCGCCTGAAGCTGAAATGCGCTCGAGCAGCCTGAGCCTAATTTTTCACTTATGGCTGAGGACTCCTGACTGCAGCAGCGCTCAATCCATTCGTCACGAGGGCTCCTTTCAGCGTGGACATCCTTCAAGGATGCCTCCCTTTACACAAAAATGTCATTTGCTGTACAAACGTCTGCCCATGAAATTTCTTTTCCCCCCTCTGCTGTTTGGCCCTTTGTCAGGAAACATAATGGTTTGCTTCAGCCAGATTAGCCTTGTCTTTGAGATTGGAGAGCTGACAAACAGACTACGACGTGCTGAGGAGGACTGTGACAGATAGTACCTTCATGTGAACAGGTTATTTTCTGTCATTCCTCCCAGACGAGCAGCGGGGTTGAGGAATTGTTCTATTGTGACAGGTGAGAGGCTCAACCTCCATTTATGTAGCTGTCTGCCGATACAAAGGGGAAATGGATTTTTTATCACCTCTCAAAATGTTACATCTTTCTGACGAGTTAACATAGTGAGCCATGTGACATTTGTCAAAAATTACAATGGAAGAGAGGAGATTCTTCAGAGTTTATAATCTATGCAAACAATGGGTGCAGCTGTTCTCTTGAGAGGTTTCTTCACAAAAAAAAAGCTTCAAATTGTTGCAATCATCCATTTCACACCATCCAGGTGAAATTATGGTTAATAAAGTTAGATCACATTGGTAAAGAGGCAAGGCTGAACTGATATGTGATTGTATATTGATGGCTGGTGTTAATTACATATCTGCCAGTAGACCTGACCCAATTTAAATCTCAAAATGAGGTCAGTTTTGGGCCAGGTGTCACTTAAATCTAGAAATTATCTTTCACAATACTAATTCTGGCAACTCAAAGGGTATGTGGCAACACAAGTAAGGATCCAATACCAGTGGGGGGTTTTTTCACAAATTTAAAATGATTAACTATATACCTCATTGTATGGAATCCACTGGGATCAGTTGTATGTAAGGTAAAATGAAGCCAGAGATGGCTGTGGCACTGAAGGACCAGTCTCTACCAGTCTGACTAAAATCTGTATTCAAGGAAGCTCCATCAGATTGTATTTCTCCTGCTGATAGCTCTCCATGTCCACAGTGAAACCAGAAAGCTCACAGTTAAACTGGTGGCCTTTATTGATCATCACAGAGTGATAGACATGTAAAAGCTTTTAAAAAGACAGACAGTGCTTCAGGGTTGGTATTTCCTATCCTATTTTTAAATGGTCGGGTCCATCTTAGGTTTGGGTGGGATTGCCCGTCCCAGTCTGCCAGATCGGTATCGGCCCAGATACTGACTTTGGAAGTGCATCGAGTATTGTCCAGACAATGATGATCTATATTAAACAGCGTTCCGTACTACTCTGTTCATTTGTTGCCGTGAGTTCATTTTAATGCATTAAACCACTTCTGCTACTCATCAGTTTCTGGACACATTTCACAACAGATGCATTTTATGTAGTGGTAGGCCTTTACTGTGAAATAGGAAGCCATTCCGGGTTAGCTAACATTATCAAAATCCGACAAGATGATACAATAGTTAGAACTTCTTTGCAACTATGCATGGACAAATATTGGAACAAAACCGAGGACTCAAGTTACGTCTTATCAACAATGACTTTTTAGCGACAGGAGTAAGTAAATCTAGAGATGGCCTAATCCGATTCACTTGGCTGGTTTCAGCGTTGATCATGCCCTAAACTGAGCAGATCGGGTAACAGCCAGATGTGACTGATCCACATTAAATAAGAAGCATTCATTCAGTGCAACTGAATGGCAGGTATCATATGGACACTCACTAGAGTTTAGGTACAATATTGGGAAAAAAGCACTGGAAGGGTGGATACAGAGTAATAAGTACTATGTAATGTTCGTTCAGCAAGTTGGCTTTGGTTTTGTGAGAAAAAAAGACAAAAGACAGATCCATGCGCAGGTGAAGTGATTAGATGAAGAGCTGTGTGATGAATCTAAATGACGCCTTCTGCCTCAGCTGTTCTGTGACACAGGGGATGAGTACACCAAAGAGTCTGATTATTGTTTGTCACCGCAGCTCAGAGCAGTTTGTAAGGTCACCAGTAATCCTACAGCACAAGTGCATGTTATACATATTAGACAACTTAACGTGATGGTGTGCCTGCCCTTAGGTCAGCATATGGTAGAAATGGAACTGGGGTTGATTTATTATAACAACAATATCTTCTAAACTGCCTAGAACTGTATAAGTAAAATCTGCACACGCCTAAAGGGTGTGTGAATGCCTCCACTCACAGTCGAGAAGTTTAGTTACAGGCTCCTGGTAACTTATTGATCTCAATGTGTTTTACACAGCGAGGTTTATAGATTTTAAATTTGGGGAAAAGAGCCCTGAGTTGAGGTATCAATTCTGCTACTGGAAGAGAAGACAGTGGATCAGTGCATCTCTACTTTTTGGGCTGGGTAAAAATATCTGCAGAGACTAAATCCAGCTGTGGCCAACATTTCCCACAAGCCTGGGATGCATGCATCAGTGAGTTTCCCCTGCGTCCTCAGCCCTACAGGAAATGCCTGGACTTCAGTGACTTGTTGCCTGCACTGCTCACAGTTAGTAGGATTCCCACTCATTTCAAGAATTCAACAGTCAACTTTCAAACAAAATATGCACCTAGGTTTAACTAGGCAAGCTGAGAGACTGAATTGAATTGAAGAGAACTGAACACAATTAAAACATTTCCAGGACAACATTGATTATTTTCAGGATATTTGTTGATTTTAATCAATTTCCGGGTGTTTCCATGACAGGAAAACTAGTCTCTATATGTCCAGGTTTTTCAGGAGGCACGGGAGTAAGAGGATGCATCTCAACCTTCCCCTATCCTGCTACGACTACTCCCATAAGTCACCAGTTTGAGAAGAATACAAAACGCTGACTCAGTGAAAACCCCACACAATGAAAGCTCTTACTCAGATCTTGATTGGCAGCAGCGTACAGCACCTCCGTCTTTCACCACGCTCCGACTCGGGAGGAAAATAAACCATGCAAACCAGTCGAGCCACAGCGGAGTGCCTTTCCCACCCTTAGGGAGTGTGAGCAAGCACAACACTGTTGCTACAGTGACCCTAATGGTAAACACTGCCAATCAGGTCAAACGCACAGACATTTATTTATTTCATTTTTTTTAAACCCGAGTCAGATTCACGCCTCGGACTTGCTTACAAGGTCCATTCATTAAGCTTCAGCCTGAGCAAACAGCGGTGCAAATATGGCACAATAATCTACCATTGCTATTCATGTGACTCAGTGAGCCGGTACAATCCATTCACACAGCTCACACAGGCTCACACAGGCTCACACACACACACACACACACACACACACACACACACACACACACTCACACTCACACACACACTCACACACACACACACACACACACACACACACACACACACACACACACACACACACACACACTCACACTCACACACACACTCACACACACACTCACACACACACACAAAAGTGCCTCAGGTGTCAGAGCAAATAGCCCCTTCTAAAAACACACAATCGACAGGCTCCTACCTGCAATTTGGTGGCGGGTCCAAGGTTATCTCTGCTAGCTCCTTCTGGATTCTGCAACAAGAGGAAGATCTGTGTTATAATCACACTCTCAAACACACACACACACACACACACACACACACACACACAAAACACAGACAGTTATATAAATCCTGCCTGTAAAATCAATCTGTAAAGTGTACACACTGAATACCTCATTGATTTTCTAATGAGCTCCTGAGCGCTGGGAATGGATGCAGGAATAAGTCCCTTCACGCAAGATCAACACAGGGATGCACAGCTGAATATTCGCCATTTTTTAAAAACATGAGCATGAATTGATATCGATGTCAAGAGGGCATGTCGGATAGAGGCATCATATCTGATATATATCTGGGTTAATTAATTTTGCTGCTGATCATGGTCCTGTCTCAGCCCTCTGCCTTTCAGGAAGCTGCTGGGAGCATTTCCACACCGGGCACATAAAAAAAGGGGTGTAATGAATAGAATAGACTGTAGAGAGGTCAAATTTCTCCCTGGTTAAGTATTCATTACGCAACTATGCCAGTGATTTGCCTACAAGGACCCAGTATCCAGGTGTTGTACTTTACAATCGCTCAGTCAGCTATAACTGCCGCTATTATTCTCTCCACGCTGAGTGCCACCTCTGTCTCACTTAGACTTTTGCTTTTGGTGCTCATGATGGAGCAACTCAGTTTCAACCCAGCTTTTTCACCACGGTATTGATGACACCCATGCTTTTTCCACAGCATGTCGTACGAAGACTGTAAGTGAAAGTGCCTCCACAACCTCAAATATGTGCTTTTTCAAGAAAGGTATTCTCTTTTTGTTGCAGTTTGATTGAAAACAAAAAGCTGTAAATATGTGTGAATACATCTGCATCTTCTATTCCAAGAATTTCCCTCTTTAGTATGTAGCAGAGGTGTGGATTCGAGTCCCGTGACTTGGACTTAAGCCAGACTCAAGTCACAGATTTGATTACTTTTGCCTTGGAAAAAATCTAAAATTACTTGCCACTCAACTTTCTTAAAGTTAGGTTAGAAATTGAAACATATTGCAGATACATATTGTATCACCAACGTTTTGCCAATACACAGCACTAAACACCAATAACGTGTGATTGCACTTGGACTTCAGTTTTTTAAATAGAAAATACTTATACCTTTCCCCAAGCCGAAAGATTAAAAAGTATTTTACTTTAAAAGTGTGCCAAGAATCTGTTCATTTCCTGAATCAACTAAACTTAAAGCTATTTATTCCCATCAAGATGACACTTAATTCTCCAAGTCCAATCAAGTTGCAGGAGAGAACCATGACGAATAACTGAACACCAGTTGGAAAAAATTATACCAAAGATTTTTTCATTTGTTCTGTTGTTAAAATGTTAAAATGTTAAAATTACATTCTGTGAAGAGTGCATTATGACTTGTTTAGGACTCGAAACTCAAAGTTTAGGACTTGAGTGGGAACTTGCCTGTCTTGACTTGAGACTTGAGTGCAAAGACTTGAGACATCCTTTTGACTTGTAAACCAATGACATGGTCCCCCCTCTGGTATTTATTATGAAGCTATTAGGAGGTCAGAGGGGTATCAGCTCACCATTATCCTTTTTTACTAAAAAAGATGACCATTTCATGGAGATTTATGAAAGTGAAATGTATTTAATGTAACAGAGGCTTATAGTTCTTGATAACTGCATTTTCAGCATGAAAAGGGTTCTACAGGTCAGGATCTCCTTGACAATTAAATCCTTACATTACAATGCCTTTCTCAGTGTACTACACTTGCGTTCTCACAGACTTGTGTAGCGTCAACAATGGCAGCCCACGAGTCCCAATCGATGCTTAGCCAACAATGTTCCAAATTCCTGGATGTGTTCTTGGTTGTTATCAGAGATGCTTTGGGAGCTACCTTGTGTGAACTTGGAGTAGACAACTATTCCAGCATTCCCCGCTATAGCTCGTTCATGGATTCCTCATATTAATCATGCAGTGTGTTCACTCAGCTGTTTGTAAGCCGGGACATTAAAATGATTTGCTATTGCAAGAGAGAGGAAGAAGAAAGACAAGCAGATGATGTTGACATTATATATTGTTTCAGCATCGACATGGCAGTGAATGGATGTGCAACAATTACACTGCAAAGCAATGTGAGGCTCAATCACATTACACTACAGCTCTTCTAATGCTTGAAGTGCCCTTTGTCAAATGTGTTAGAAATGCTACTTTAGTATATGTATCTACAGAACACAAGAGTTGTAGAGGATAATGGATAATGACAGGTTTACTGACATGCTGGCTGCACATTTGTCTTTGAGGAAAACTGTAACTTATTTCTGTCAAGAAATCACATGACATCTTTTATGCTTCTTACTTTCTTTTGTCTTTTTTGAAACCTGAATCATGGGGCACGTACTGTATAACGGCACGTTATCCCCATCTCTCTCCCTGACTTTCTTGCCTTTGTCGCTACTGTCTATTAACTGAAGGACAAAAAATGTTGAAAAGGAATAAAAAGCTCACATGGTTGGCAGTAAAAGGCCACCACTGGGTGGGTGGGAGGTTGGTAGTGGCATAACGGTCCACTGGGTATACTGTGTTTGAAATATATGTTGTTTTGTTTACAAACTGCTACTCCCTTGTGTGAGGTGTTCTGGGTAGTGTAAAACAAATCAGGAAGGGAAGAACACAAGACCAGCTAAAGGAATGCAGGTACAAAGATATCCATTACAACACTTCATCATAAAAGAGCTCCTGGAATGGGCTGCTCATCATAGGTTGATGATACATAACAGCGGAAGAGTATCCAAGGGGGGATTTTGCTTTAAACTCTCCTCTGTGGGGAAATGACTGCACACGACTCACTTGGGGAAGGAGGGAAAAAAAGACATATATTTGCCAAAGAGATTGTAATACAATCTCCACGGTTATGGAGTCATTCTCAGCTTGAGTGCGTGCTGTGTAATTTTATCTGCAGTATTTCCTGAGGTGGCACATTTTGATGGCTAAAGCTGGGGGACCTGTACGGGAGAGTGGTGCAGTGAACAAGGCCGGGGGAATCTGAAGGGAAAGGCACTGATTGTCCTGCGAGCTCCTCGTGCTCGCGCATTCCGTCTTTAACCAAACACTTGCTCTTCCTCTGATGTTCCACAGCTCACTGCAGTTGATAATCCCCTGAGACACTGCGAGCACCAAACTATTGCATTCTGCATGCCTCGACTAATGCAAATAAGTCAATATCATCGGAGCATAGTTTTTTATGATGAAAAACACCAGCTCTGGCTTGTGTGTGGGGCGGCCGGTGATTTATTACAGGAACTAGCACTGAAAAGCAACTAAATAACCTGCGCCTGTCAGACTTCCTATAAAGCGGTAACCCTCGAGGTCCTTATTTTTTATGTGGTAGCTATCTCTGGTGATAAGAAGTCATCGCTGTGTTTATTTCTAACAGTCTGCTGTGGCTGAAGTCAGAAGCATACATTTTATCACTTCCTTTGTGCCACAGGATTTCTTTCCCACAACATACCTGGTGTACAATATTTACACGAGCAAATGCAGAGGCTATCATTAAAGTAGTCCTATAGATCCAAGAGAGTTCAGGGTTTCAATGTCGCCTCCAAATGTCTCCAAGGCAAAAACAATTTTGCATTTCGGCAATGAGGTGGCGGTGACGCTGCATTGTAATCAGCACAGAGCACCGGGAAAGGCAGTGCCAAAAATGTAGAAGAGGAAGAAATGCCTCCTCTCCCCAAGGAGAGGAAGAGGGAATGAGGGAGAGAGAGAGGTGACGTGATCCAGGACCAGATTATCATAGTTTATAAAAATGCAGTGGAGTGATGATGTAGCCATTTCATACACTAGACTAGTGGTGGTGGTCACTGTACAGTTGATCAATTGCTTTGTATTGTAAATATTGATCAAATATGTCACTCGGTCAGGGGTCATCAGTTCACTCAATGATAGAAAAGGGGTGCCTTAAGGAAAAAGGTTGGGAACCACTGCAGTAGACGTCCGTAATGGAGGAGCTAGCGACTGAACCCGCGTCAGACCGTTCATATGATTCAGCTGTCAGTGTCAAGAGCTAAAGCAAGGTGTGGAGAAGGCTATGCAAGGCTATTCTCTGCTGTGTAGTCCAAACACTTAACCAATAAAATGAGAATTGTAGAATAACACTGGGCATAGAAAGTTTCACATCTACACTCTAAATACTCTCTATCTGCTAGAGTTAGAGCTTTAACCAAATCACACATCCTGCTGTACTAATTGCCCACAGTGTCACTGTACACCAGCAGTAATAGCAGTTAGTTTCCATATGAACTCTCTCCAGGGGTCCGTCTGAACCTGACGTCTCTTACTTGGATTCAGTGGGACACTGAAAAACCTTCCTCTGAAACACCTCAATGTTCTTTTGTCACAAGAAATCTTATGATGGACTAATACATGTGATAATACACGGACAAAAACGAAGCCAATCCTCCTTCCCACCACAATTTGCCACTTGTGTACGACACATATAGTCGTAGTAGTAGTATATCCAAATCGCAGAAGATACCATGTCTTGATAAAGGTAAAAAGTGTGACAAATTTTCTCATTTAATTATTAGTTAAGTTAATTATTAAGTGTTGAAGGCAGGGTACACATGCACATGTGTGCATGTGACCAGGATAATACCACCTCCGGCTCATTTTGAGCCAAGAGTTATGGCACAGAAAGACAGTAGTTACCAGACTTGGCTGTATGCTGCCAATGTTTTGTGCCATTGAAACAATACTGTCTGATTTGTATTTTTCCCTCAGATGGTAGCATGCTTTTCTCCCACATATGACCTTTTCAGGTGCTGTGAGTGAAATCTGCATTTTGTCCCCTCCCTCCTCCCCACGTCACCACACTGACATTCTGCTGCCCTTGAGGACCGCCTCTTTGCGGAGTTCTCTCTGCTGATTGGATAAAGTGGGAACAGGATAGCAGAAAGTGTATTCTCTGTTTACAACAGTAAGGAGAATCTGGGAGAGCCCTGTTACTTAATAAACACTTTACAACTTCACACTTATTTTTATTTTTGACCATTTCTCAAACTTTCCAAAACCAGCAATCCGTCATTCACACCCACTTCACAGCGTGATTGGCTGGGTGTGTGGAGGTGAGAACGGAGCCTGGGTTTCTCTTTCTAGATCTTTTTTTCCACTCTTTAAAGCAATATCACGCCTCCCCCTCTCAATAGCCTTTTTCCACAAATAGCTCCCAGTAAATTACTGGGATAACCTTTCAGGTACAGCTAGTGATTTTCACTATTCATACATGCAGCTTCATTCAGGAACATTTCAGTCTCGCGCCTTTTCACACATGTCATGGCAAAGCTGGAATAGATGGGGCAAGGGACAGTCCAGCAGATGGTGGTTCTTCTGCCTCATTATGCCTCACTCGCATAGAAATTGCAGAGATGAGAACATGACAAAGTGGAAAACAGCTGGCTGGCTAGCATTTGTTACTTTCTTTCACATTAACTATGATGAAAAATATGCATTACTGATTTAAATGAATGGCAACTAACGTAAAATAGATAGAAGCATATTATGCATTATGCCATCGCCCCGGCTTGTCCCCTACTAAGTAGCTCCACAGCCAGGCATTCTCTCTGAAATGTTACTAGGTCTTAGGCGGGAAATCGGAGGAATAGATTTCCCTGAATATTGATATTTATTTGCAGTCACACCAGAGTTATTACAGTTTGGTTTCATTTTTAATTTGTTTTAAAATTTAGTTTTCAATTCAGATTATTTGCAGTTAGTTCCCAGAGTGGGTTTGCTTGTTTCAGTTTAGTTTTTATTGTTTAAAAATGTTCAGTGTTAGTGTAGTTATTATTATATGTGGGTATTTGACTGGGGCAAGATTTAACAAGCTGAGAAGGTTGGTATGCACCAGTGCCTCCTAATGTTTGTTGTGTTGACGAATTTGACCAAATTGACAAAGACTAAAACTAAAGACATTTCTTATATATCTGTGTTTTACTTTAGCTAGTTGTAAGTACACAGTATCATTTCACCAAGTCTGCATTGCATTCTGCAGAACTTACATACGGCACTTGTATGGTTTGAATTCAAGACAAGTTGAATTATGTGCTTTTATTTTGGCGACATTGCTCCCAGCACTTCTAGCAGCAGGCTTGTTGTTCATTGGCACTGCAGCTGCCAATAAGTGGCACAGTGCAGAGAACAACAATGTCTCTCTCAACAGCTCTGGTATCAGCATCAACACACCATCTGAACTGGCTGTGCGGCTTGGCAAGCTCATTCCCCCATCAGATAGCGACTGCTGTTGTTCCGTGCCATCACCCCCATGATATCCAATGCCAGCCTGCCATGAACTGCTTATAAACTGAATCAGTGCTGTGTTACATTGGGGGCACTGAGGAAAAACACCAGGGGTTAATTTAAAGTGAAAGCGACCATTTGCGACCTTCTTCCGTGCCCAACATTTTCCAGCTGCATTTAAGTTCTGATGAGCCAGTGGGGGGATCAAGTCAATATCCTTGAGGTAAAAACCCAACAGAGCATATTTAAACCTTCACTATGAATAGCTTGGAGTTCATGTGCTGCTGTGGTAGTACTAAGATTTGACAATAAGACTCTTAGGAAAATACCTCCCATGCACATGAAGTGATTCTTTTATGTTGAGTAGAGTGTTTGAGAGAATTAAATACTAGTATAATAATAATAATAGTAAGTGTCGGCCACAAAAGAAAAAATCAAACCTCATTAGCACACTAACTAATGACTGTTTTCATTATTGATAGATTCCTCCATCATTTTTTAATTCACTGAACTAATCATTTAACAGGGCCCAAGGTGACATTCTCACATGTCTCGTTTTTCAGTCCAAAGCACAACAAGCAGTCAATTTACACTGATATAAAACAGTAAAAGGCAGCAAATTCTCACATTTGAGATGCTGGGACCAGAGAATGTTTGGTATTTTGGCTTGATAAATAAATTACACCATAGGGTTTTCAAAGTCTGAAACTATGGGCCTCCTCTCAGACGGAGCTTGGAGGTGCCCCCTCACTCCCCCTTAATTTACTTGCCAAGTTTCCCTCAATTCCTGAATGCCTATGGGATCGTTATTTTGTTATCTGATCCCAAAGCCACTCAACAATTGAGCTCAGATAACCTAATATTGCTGTTTGAAATAACTTGAGACTACACCAAATAATAAAAGGTCTGTCCTGAGGCATTTATCAGATTCTGACTCTGGGAGAAACAGTAAAACTACTGTATCAAACACATTTAAGCTATTCTATGTGATGTCCTTTTTATAAGTAATGTCATTTTCTTTCACTTCCAATTACTGAGCCTTCCCTGAAACTCCCCGGAGAGGCCCACGTCCTACTTTAAAAACACAATTTACACAAATCAAAATTGATCAGTTGATCAGCTAACAATAAATCAACTAATAGTTTCTATGCAAGGCTATTCTCTGCTGTGTAGTCCAAACACTTAACCAATAAAATGAGAATTGTAGAATAACACTGGGCATAGAAAGTTTCACATCTACACTCTAAATACTCTCTATCTGCTAGAGTTAGAGCGTTAACCAAATCACACATCCTGCTGTACTAATTGCCCACAGTGTCACTGTACACCAGCAGTAATAGCAGTTAGTTTCCATATGAACTCTCTCCAGGGGTCCGTCTGAACCTGACGTCTCTTACTTGGATTCAGTGGGACACTGAAAAACCTTCCTCTGAAACACCTCAATGTTCTTTTGTCACAAGAAATCTTATGATGGACTAATACATGTGATAATACACGGACAAAAACGAAGCCAATCCTCCTTCCCACCACAATTTGCCACTTGTGTACGACACATATAGTCGTAGTAGTAGTATATCCAAATCGCAGAAGATACCATGTCTTGATAGAGGTAAAATGTGTGACAAACAGCATTATAATGAAGTACAGTAGTGCTGCACTGATGCACTGGTCTACAAATGTTGAATTACATTACATCAGCACTGAGCCTTGCACAATGAAATGACACCCTGCGCTGCTTTGATTGACAGGTGATCTCTGAAAAAAACGGAAAAACAACGATGGAGAAATAAATCAGCAACATAAGTAAGTGACAGGTGACCACTTGACCAACACAACCAGCGGTGGACACAAAGTAAAAGAGAGTGGGAGCAGCAGATCTACCTCTTAGCGCTGGTGGAGAGCTTGGCGGCGGTCTTGCTGGAGATTTTGGCCTCCTTCTTCTTGGGCTGGGTCTGGTCCCGCTGCTCGGGGCCCGGCTGCTCTGGTGGAGCCGCCTCCCTCTGCTCGGCATCCGAGCTACCCCCACTGGTGTTGGGGCTGTCGTCCGGCCTCGGCTGCACCTCACTGGACATGCTGACACTGCGCGCACGCACGCACGCACGCACACGCACACACACACACACACACACACACACAGAGTATTATGCATACATACTGAACACACAAAGACACCATACATCTTGACTGCCTGGTCCTTGATCAGTGGGTCTAATCAACCCCTGATACCAGAGCTGCTGCTTTTGAATTGTAATTGTGGAATACATTTGTTATCATACCCTGGTCCTGTACAGTGTACCAAAAGAGAATGATGTGATTTTAACTGTGGCTACAACTAATGATTATCTCCATTATAGGATCATTTGTTAATTTAAAACTGTTAATTCACTTCTTTTTATTTTGTGGCTTTTTATGCCTTTATTTGATAGGACAGGTGAAGATAGATAGGAAAGGAGGGACAGAGAGAGAGAGGGGCTGACGTGCAGCAAAGGGACACAGGTTGGAATCAAACCCAGGCCGCTGCGGTGAGGATTCACCCATGCGGGCCGGGTGAGCCACCCTGTGCTTTTGTATAAAACAACAGTTCCTTTAAAATTGAGCATATCAACCTGCTGATAAAGACTCTGTGATGTGGCTGAAATGCTAATAAGCTTTTATGAGTTTGAAGTGTTTGACCAAGGACAAGAATGAGCAAGAAATGTTTATGAATCTTTATTTAAAACACAGAAAGGTAGAAAATTCTCACACTTGTGAAGCTGAAACCAGGGAATAATGGGTATTTCTGCCTAATAAAGGACTTAATAAAACAAAGAGCATCCCGGACCAGTGCCTGAGTGGTTGACACACCAGCCATGATCCACAATGTCTCTGCTTCCACTCCGGTTGGGGACACTGTTATCATTTCCCATCTCTCTCCATACATTTCCTGTCATCTCTCTACTGCCTGCTCTCTAATAAATGCCCCCCCCCAAAGTAAATTTTTTTTTTTCAATTGTCAGAATTAATGTTGAGGGATTTTCTGTCCATCAACTTCTCATTTCCATAATTTCAACAATATTCCAGCTGGCTTTCATGTAGTTTTCAGTTTTAATATTTATACTTTTTATCAGCATTATTTATTTTATTCTATCTTATTTTATCATAACATTTTTACTGTTTTATTACAAATCTATATTATATTTATTTTGTGTAGTATTCCATAACTTTATTTTGTATTACTTTTATTGCTATCTCTTAACGACTCATCTTTTATTGGTCTTATTCAATCAACGTTTTCTTTTGCTGTTCTAGCACGCATCGGTCTCAATCTGTTTTATCAATCGCTTGATTTACTAACCGAACATTCATTTTAACGTCAGTCTAACACTCAGGGTTTCTGGCAAATTCAGGCACATAGTGCAGTTGTCTAGTTAGAATATTACCAACTATATTTCATCAGACTTGCATGCCTGTAATATCACACCCCTACCTACTAATAATTTCATCAGTCTTTAGACAGAGATAGATACAAAGCGCAGTCATTCAATTTAAAGCTGTAACTAATGATTATTTTCATTATGAATTAAACTGCTTTATTATTTTATTGATCTACTGCTTCAATCTTTGGACATCAGTAAACAGTGAAAAGTAGAAAACTCTTACATTTTATGAAGCTGGAACCACAAACGTGTTAAAGGCACAGAGGTACACTGATACTGTGTTTATGGGAATGCCCAGGGCTGCAGTCATTCTGGAAGAGGGTTGTTGAATGTATAATAACCCATGTAATTAGTAAAGAAGTTGACTCTGCAGGCCGGGAGGGTAACTGCGCTGTTCTGGAAGAACACAGACATACATTGTAGAGGAATGTGAACAAAGGAACTCACAGTTTGTGTTGTTAAAGGGAAAGTCTATGGAGCCCTATCAGTGAATTCTTGGAAAGAAACACTGTCCAATCAACTGGAAATGATGGGCGATGCTGTTTATTTTTTACACAGTTTTTTCCCTTTAGGGAGGGTGATTGTATTAATGTACAAGTTCAATCATTTAAAGCTTAACTAAAGGTATTAACATGTGGCTGTTTCATTGACTGACTAACTTTTGTGGTCCTTTGATTGGATGATTCACTCAGCCTCTACACGTTCATTAACCTGATAAAGGTCAGCGTCTGTAGTCTGCAGCATTTATTTCACTTTTATTCAAAAGTAGCACTCATTTTAACAAAAGACCAACTTTACCCTGATTACAGCCCAATTCTGAACCGGCCCCCACACCCTCCCACTGTGTGGCAGAGTGTAACTGTGTGGACTCTTACTCACGGCTGTGGAGGGTCTCTTGAAAATACATTCATACATTATACCGCCAGGTTTTGGAACGCCCTCGCCATTGTCTGATGGAAACATTTGTCTGCATCCAAATCAACACATTTTTGTAAACAGCACTATTTACATTTGATAACAATAAACCAGTAGCCTTGTGTTTCTTTTTCAGGTTCTTAGAGGCTTGTTTTAGGTGCACTCTGCCATCATGGTCCACTTCCTTAATGATAAACATGTTACTCCAAATATTTCAGAAAGGACGTTGTAATTAAATCAATATTTAGCCAATAGATAAACTTATATAGAGCATAAAGATGTAGGCGTATGGGCATTGACATGGCACACTCATTACATTCATGGCGCTTGTGAAAGGAAAAATAATTTATTGAAAATATAAAAACTCCAACACACTTCTTGTTTGCAATTCTTAATCTGATTATGTTTTAGTTTAGTTCCCCCCAGTCCCTGAAATTGCTCAACACAGGCAATCAAGTCAAATCAAATAATAAAATATGATAATAATAACTCAAAAAAATGAATAGGTGAACAGAAGCAAGTTTGTTCCAAAACACAACCTCTAATTCCGTCAAATGTGCACGAAGATAGTCTTATCAAATGGGTGTTTGAGGTAAGCCATCTTATTATTTATGCAATGGCACTCACATTTGCAGGCATGTGGGCGTTTCCTCTGATCCAGGCACAAAAAGAGGTGTTGCACATGAAAGCACAGTGATTTGTAAACCTGCATCAGTGCAGACTTATTGTTGAAGAGCTTTAAAACCTACTTTCCCTTCAGGCGAACTGCTTCGGAATGACACTAAAGGGGGATTTATAGTTGTACGGAGGTTCTATAGCATAGCCTACGCAAGTGACCTACGCCACTGGAGAAGGGCTAAAGAGCCGCTGGTTGACTACCCCTGGACTACAGCGTAGGCAACCCTCCACGCAAACATGCAGACAGAGTGAGAGTGGGTAGCGGGAGGGTGTAGGGGCTGGATTGGAATTGGGCCTACAGGTCTATTCTTATTGAAAACCTGTCAATTAGTCAATCAACACAACAGCAAGTGGAAACAACACAAGACATTTGAAAATGTCACTGTGCGTTTCACAGCAGCCATTTTGAGATGAAAGAGTAGGGTAAACACAAGTGTTACCAAAGATACTAAATAGGGCTCTGTTCCATTCACGTCAAACAGAGTCATAGTACTGCTGCTATTGTGTGTGTTGGCTCTCTAGAAAAGGCTCTGCTCCACTAAATGGAATGGAACCTTAATTAGTATCATAACCTACTATTTCATGTTAAAATGGCTACTGTGAAAAAGGTCAATTTGCAGACATTTTACAGGCCAACTGATTCATCAATGAACCAAGAAAAGAATGTGTTGAATAAATAAAGAGCTAGATCAAATGAGCCAAGCTTAATTGCAGACCTACTGGGGTCATTCCTCCTCTAGAAGGGTTACTGTGACCCTACAGAGACACACTCGGAGCCACAGAGGGTGAAAAGTTAAATACAGACCTCAGATCTCTCACCACTCATCCTCAGAATCAGCCAAGTCCAACGCCTGCTGGTCACAAGCCTCGACTCTCAATAATAAAAGACACCTGCAAGGTCATGTTCGCTAAATCCAATTCCTCCATCACTGTGTGTGTGTGTGTGTGTGTGTGTGTGTGTGTGTGTGTGAGGAGAGAGAGAGAGAGAGAGCAATGTGTGATCCTCAAGGTGAACGCCTCTATTTACATTCCCTGGTCCAGTATGAAAAATGTATGATACAGATGAATGAGCGTGAGGGCATTTCCACTGCACGCTGCAGAGCTGAAAGGAATATCAGATTGGACAGAAGTAAGGACAGATTGTTCAATAAACATGACAGCGGCTTTGACAGGCTGACTCGGCTTCTGACATTTGACAAACAGCCACTGCACACAGCCTATCTGATGCAATTAACTGCATTTGGTGGTGAGCTGATATGGGAGATAATTGGAAGATTATATGGGTTAGAATGCTACAGGGGCATCATTTCAAAGATTTCAAACACACTCATGCTCTGAAGAATGGAATCCTCTCGGGGGTACGATGTTATTATCATGTGGGAAATGATGTGTGTTTCCAGTTGTCAGGTGAGGGCAAACAAGTAAAAGTTGCAGACAGAGCAGTAAATCTAGTGCTCTTTCCAAATGAGACTGGGCAGACGTTTTTTTTTGGTTTTTTTTGGTTTTTGCCCTTCAGGTGTGAAACTGTCAAAACACCTCAACCATAACTATCAGCTCGGGTTAAGCTTTCCAGGCTGTATGTTACCGAGCAGGCCCATGCAGAAAATCACCCCCCTCCACAGAGAACCACAGTCCCTTACCAACAAGTCAGACTCACTTCAAACATTTGGCAGCTAGCTAAACGCAGCCTCGCTTTTCGGCTAACACGTCGTAAAATTGGATTTTACCTTACCTTTTTCTGAATTTAAGTACGGTGTGGTAAACTAAACAGCTCTTTAAAAATACAAGTTTAACTTTTAACTACATTTGGTTCGCACTGTCCATTAAAACTCACGTATTCCAGTGGAAAAGGCTGAGGGGCTGACGTTAAGTTAGCCTAACCTGGCGAGCTTTTACAGAAGTTTAAATTTACTGAAGTGCTGTTTGGTGCAGTGGGTGTACACCGGATGAAACAGTGGCTGTTAACGATAATACAACGTCTTTAACAGCAGCCCCGTAAAGTGTATACACACTGTTAGAGAGAAGGAGGTTTAAAATGATTGATATTTTGCACGGAGTTCGGGGGAGACGTTCTCTCTTTCAGCAATACGCAGAAGAGAAGAGGCACGTATCGGGCTTATGTTAAGGAGCCCCCCCTCCTCCTCCTCCTCCTCCTCCTCCTCCCCGGCACTCACCGCCCCGGTCCCCGGGCTTTACTGGCTATCTCCGGGGAGTCAACACCAAGACAGCCTCGGTATGAGACATCTTGATGTAGATAGAGCCAAGATGAAGCTCGGCAGCACACTTATCCGACATGTTAGCCTATCCAGTACCGGAGCTCGCACTGACCGCTGCCAAATCTGCTCCAGCACAAAAGACAGAATGGATGCCCCCGCCCCCCCTCCCTTCTTCCCCAACCACCACCACCGCCCCCTCCCTCTACAAGATAACGTAATAAACCTTTATTCCATTTATAGAGTTGATTTTTTTAGGGAAGAATGCGGTCGACTCACCTTTATAAGCAGGCTGGGCGCACGGCGGCAGGAGAAATGTGTTATAATGTCCACTGTATAATCCGTAACACTGGTTGTCCGCTGCTTTCCGTCCGTTGCTTTGACTGACTGCTGCTGGAGAATGTGCCGAACCGCGACCGTCAACGCAGCTGTGACTACACGCTTCACTTCCGGTGTCAGATGGCAAAATAAAAGCCTGAATGAGCGTGCCCTCACTTTTGTTGGTTTTTCACAACATAAGTGAGGCGACGCATTGGAAATAAAGTCAGACTGCATTTAATAACTACAGAAAAAGAAAAACAGACCAATACTGTTACAATGCGCGAAGTTTATTGTTATTACACATATATATAATTCACGTAGTAACTTTTCCTATTATAACAACATTCTATTTGTGTTGTTATACCGTGACATTGTTTAATTTACTTAATGTAATATATCAAACAATTACATTTTAGTAGTATAATAAGTTATCACACAATACCATGGAACATTTAAAGTTATAATAAGATAAATAATATGTTGTTATAAAAAGAAACGTTTGTTGTTATAATGTTATAAGTAAGTATGTCGTAATAACGTGGAAACTGGTGTGGGAGTAACAGGCGGCCATAGTGACTGAATTACAGTGCTATGTTTTTATCTAAAAATTTATTTCTTCCCCCCTCTTGAAATCTTAAATAACATGCTGTTTATTAATATAATATATTACAAAACATTTGCCACCAAAACGTAAAATTATGGTTACCGGTATAGCTATTAGCTATTACAATTTACTATTTTGACATTATAGAAACACTGAGAAAAACATCCATTTACACTGCTCTCCGTCTCCCGCTGCTTTTCATCAGCCTGTAATTAACTATAACAATAATTTGCACTCCACAGTTGCAAACCTTGCTTTGCCTATTTGATGCTCACGAAATTACCAATACTATAATAACCATTATCATACACCCTTGTAGCCAACTGTTTTCATCAAACGTCTAATAAATCTTTTATGTTCAGGCAGAGTGCTCAGTTCCGATTCCTTCTTTTGTCTGCCGCAGCTTGACAAACCAGCCCGCCTCCGTGCGCGCTCCCACGCGAGTCCGCGCAAACTGTGTGCTCTGTGAAGCGTTATGGCAGGCTTTGATGGTAGTGTAGACTACAAAGGAAGTGCAAAAGAGAGGGATACAGTGAGGGCTGCCAATCCACCTGGATGGAAAAAGTGTGCAATAGAACAGAAGCAATGTCCTCCCTGCTGAACGGTGCAGGTACTCGGATGCACAGAGCCCCGTTACAGCGGTGGAGTTGTTAATGATGGCGGTGCTGTAGCGGCCTGACAGTGTAGGATGCAACCACATTACTCCGTTCATTTTAAACATTGGGTTAGTTAATGCAGCTGAAACCAACAGGAGCTTTAAAACACCTCAGATAGACCCCTGTACATTTTAAGTGACTTTATATAAATAACTAAATGAAGCCTCTATTTACCACACATTGTGTAATTCTTTGACTATATGTATCCAATTGCTCGTGTAAACTAATGAATTTACATTTCAGAAATACTATTGTGCATGGTTTGTGTCGACCACTCCTGCGGAACCTTTTAACTGCTCGATGTTTCTCTACGTCGGGTACAGTGACGGACGGTCGCTGCTCAACATGCGCCATTGAAAACAAACGTACCCGACACGGCGGGGGCCGCTGGACTTTACGCTGAGCAGTTAGAAACCCTGTCCTGTCTTTAGTGAACAAACGACACCGTTCTACAGCATGGAGACGATTCTAGAGCAGCAGCGTCGCTACCACGAGGAGAAAGAGAGGCTAATGGACGCGAAAACAAAGGAAATGTTGCACAAGAAGTCCACGGTAAGCCGTCCGCTCTGTGCTAGCATTAGCATGGTTGCTAACCCACACTGCAAACATGGGAAACGTTCGTTATTTTGTGTTTTTTCTAAAATGTGTCTCGTTTTGTTTTCCGGACAGCTGCGGGAACAGATCAACTCTGACCACCGAACAAGAGCGATGTTGGATGTAAGCGAGACTTTTGGGTTGTACACTGGTAGCACCGGTAGGCTAACGGTAGTATGGGCTAGAAGGTGCATAACGTTAGGGAACTTTTCTTTGAGCTACAGTTAACATGTTGGTTAATTGATATCATTTAATATTAAGTAAACATTTCTGCTGTTATTTACTGTATCCAACTCGAGATAAAAACTAGTATCTAACTTACACGTCTCCGTCAGTAACTGTCGAGGAGGGCGTCACAAAGAAATGGCGCTCTAAAATCAATATATTAAAAGTAGCTTTCATTAGAAATCGATAAATGTGCTTGCATTTCCTTTACTTCTGTATGTATACCTGTTGGTAGGGTCCGCTGGAACAATCGGCATACAAGTGATCAGGGCCTTCACTAAAGAGCGCTCCAAACAACTCATCATATTAGAAGATATTGATTTACTTGCATGATTCCTTTTAATTTTGACATTTTTGTGTTCTCGCCACATGGATGAATACAGTTACTGTAAGCTGCTTTGCATAAAAGCATCAGCTAAATATATGTAATGTTAAAATACCTTATGTGCTGCAGTTGGTAACCTTTTATAAATATATATATCCTGACAGTAGAACATGAGACAGATAATCTGTGAAACAATCAGGTTCCTCTGGCTCCTCCTAGTGCTCCTAATGGTAGAAGCTTGAAGATAGTTGATTGTTGAGTCTTGTTTCCAGGGTCCCAAACTGTCAGTAATTGACACCCTGTGAGTGAGTCTCAACAATTACCCACTTTTCTCGCCTCTGATTGGTTGTTTTCGTTCAGACCCGGTTTAACAATGCCCCGACAATTCAGAGGTAAACAAAACCGCAATAAACTGTTAGATTTTGGAGGACAGTAGATGGAAAGTCATTTTGGTGAGAGATTTTCTCAGTGTAAACGAGAGTGCAGGTCTGAGTTCAGTAAGTTGGTTACGCTGCAGTGTTTAATGTTCAACGTGGAAACAAAAAGTAACTGTTTATGTTTTGACAGAGGTATATGGAAGTGAGCGCAAATCTCAGAGACTCCTATGAAGACAAAGATGGGTAAGCCTCTGCAAAGTGACTAACCTGCTCCAGTTTAAGTGTCTGTATCTACCTTAACTCCTATCCTGGAAGTTTTCACTGCTTTCCGAATGATTTCCTCTTAATTTCTTTGTATCAACTTGGAACATTACACATGATAACCTGAATTTAAGTTAAAGTAACCGTGTGTTTTTTGTGTTTATTGTGGATTACTGCATGCACTCAAGCGGTTTCCTTGAACCAGAAAATCTTTTTCTTAATGACAGGATGCGAAAGGATGAACTTGCTGCCATCTCAGGACCAAATGAGTTTGCAGAGTTCTACAACCGACTGAAACAGATAAAGGAGTTTCACAGGAAGCACCCAAATGAGGTAGTTAACTACTCATTTTTAAATGCTCAAATCAGACTATTTAAGCCTTTTGAAACGGAATAATAACAATTGTGCTATCATGTGTTTTGTGTAGATTTCCATTCCCATGTCTGTAGAGTTTGAGGAGCTGATGAAGGCCAGAGACAACCCCAGCGAGGAGGCTCAGAGTAAGTCTAAATTTCATCTTAATAGGCTCTGTCTCACAGCAGGAGGTTAACCTAGCCAGACTTATCCCTGTCATGGCTGTCTTCACCAAACCTCACACTGGTACCTCCTGATAACTGGGCTTAACAAAGGCTGTAAAAACCCACACTGACCGCGTCGAGCAGTGAAAGTATTGAGAACACAGCCGTCTACACTAAAGTAATTACAACCAGGATAACTTGGAAGAAATTCAGTGCAGTTAATTAGCTGCAATACATTTTCTGATAACTGGTTAAACACCCAACTTGCCTGCTATTTTAAATAAACTCTTTTAAATAGCCTGTGTGGAAGTCTAGGGTGACAGTATATTATACAATCAATTAAATCAAAATGAAAATTGCAAAATAATATGTGACAAAACTAAAAACTATAATTTTGTTAACATAATTATCCTAGGTCTCTTTTGCAAAATGATTTTCATTTCAATTTCATCAGAAATGAGTTCAAATCAGGACAAAATGTAATTTTTAAGTTAAGGTGGCACACTCACTACCTATCTTGGTCACAACTCGTAATAACCAAATTTAAGGTATCAATATCGAATATGTTTGTCATGTGGATATGTCAGCAAATATCTGCTGATATATCATAAACGGATATTATTTAGTTCTTAAACATCAGTGTTGATGTTTCGCTCAAAAATCATATTACTAAATTATTAATATAATGTTGACTTTAAACCCCATATCACTGTTCACTGGGAGCAGCAGAAACAAGTTGTGAACACAACATTAATGTATCATCTTTTAAGTGGACATGGTGATCTTGTTAGCAAACAGTTGATTATTTACACATCCAGCCGTTACAGAGCAACATGATCCTTCATTTGGAGTCTGTTTGTGTCCACCTGCTTAATCTAAGTTCAATATTCACTCTCTCAGGTATTTTTGGTCTCCACCAACTCCTAAAATCTATCTCTTTAGCTGCTAAATGTTCCACTATATCCACCAGCTAGTCTCTAAACTGTGTCAGCCTGCTGTTTGGTGCTGAGCAGAAAACAGCTGCCTGCTTGCTTGGCTAAAAATGACACAGAGTGGTGGGAGTGAACCAAAACAGTAAAGTTGTGGGCTGAACTGATAAACAATGAGCTGAAACTCACTATAAAGCTGAGAGGAGCTGCAGATTCAGATGATAATTCTCTTTAGATTCATCACTACGAACAATGGACGACTGAGTGAAATCTGTGTGTGTTCCACAGACCTGGTGGAGTTCACTGATGAGGAAGGATACGGCCGCTACCTCGACCTCCACGACTGCTACCTGAAGTACATCAACCTGAAGGGAGCTGAGGTGATCCTTTAAAGTCTGCATAACTCATGCTGCACCTCCAAACTGAAGTGTGTTTTTAACTATAGTCCATACTCTTCCCCTACAGAAACTGGAGTATATCTCTTACCTGTCTACATTCGACCAGCTGTTTGACATCCCCAAGGACAGGAAGAACGCTGAATACAAAAAGTAGATCCTTCAAGCCCATTCTTGTCTTCAGTAATGTATAAATAATACCTAGAAATGTGTCAACGTGCATGTACTCTGCTGTCGGACT